ATTTAACATCATGTGCTATCTGGGAATTGACTTGAAAACAGAAAAGGTTGAGTGGATGCTAAAACTGTGTAGGTTTTCTATGATTCAGAGGCAAATAAGATATCTGTAAAACTAATGATATTTACATGCTGCTCCATCTGTATGTTTTATTTTAGTTGTACAAACTAAGCTGGTAACTTGATAAAAAGTCATTATGCAAAAAAACATAATGGTAGTACTCTCATGACTTAAATGTACATGCTGATAAACATAAAAACCACATGGCATTAGACTCTTCAAGCTGGAATATGTGATAGTAAGAAGATGAGTCAGCAAAAAAAAAAAAAAAACTGGAAACACAAACATAGCACAGAAGTGATGCAGACAGGTGTAGGCCGTCTACTAAAGGGCAGGGCAGCTGTGATAGTGATCATATGCCTCTGTCATGAAAAAGGACATCTTAGTTACTGAGTTCAAAGGAGCAATGACTCAAGTCATGTCACGCTGTTGACATATTCCTCAGGGAAAACAGCAGCACATCAGCAGAGACACATTAAATTTTCCCAGCAAAGCTAAGCTATTACTCTGCAAGAGAAAACAACCACCAGCTTTCTATTGCGTTTTCAGTCCGGAGGATAGTCTTTGGATATCGCAGGAATGCTTCAAGGACAGTTAAACCCAGGGGATGTAGCGCCAATTGCAGCTTCTGCTTATCTGTTTTTCCCTCAAATTATTTTCTGGCTAAAAGGTACACAGACATAAAAAAAAAAAAAAATCCACCCAGGGGTTTGTCAAAGGTAAAACTGGACGGTCCAGAGGAGGAAGAAAAAACGGGAGGACGATATGGTGTAGGTCTCTGATGTGCATCTCTGAATCACCTTTGTTGATTTTGTTGGGGGTTTTTCGGCACTGCAGAGCCAGAGTCAAAAGTGACAACAAAAAGCAAAGAGCCAAACTGAGAAAAAAACAAAAAAAACATTTGCTCTATAATACCTTGCTAATGTATTGACACCCCGTTAACCTTTCACCTCAAGCCTCCATTTATTTCATTGAGGTGTTTTTTCTGATTCTGTGTGATTCCACTGATTGGATGTAATATTTAGTCGAATTTTTTTCCAAGTGCCATTTATGCAAATACTCCCATTAATATTTTGGTCTGTATGACTGACATTCACTACCATTGTAGTAGTACATTTAGTGCCCATTAAGCTAACCCCATACAAAAAGGGTGAGCACATTCCACATCAATTTTGTAATTGCTTGTTTATAAAGCAGCCTAATATAAATCCAGCTGTTCAGAGAAGGATTTATAGGGTTGATAGAGAATGAAGGCAAACAAACAGCATCATAAAAATCCTAATTATACAGTCAGAGCTAAACAGGAATGGCTTGGGTCAAAATATGCTCATGTGTTAGAATGGCTCAGTAAAGACCTACAGCTTAAACGGCAACAAAAGATGCTCCATTCAGGCGAGAAGTATGCAAATGCCACACAAATATCGACGAGTTTGTCTTGGTCTATTACATAAAATCAAAAAAAGCAATATCGGCAAGACAACATGATAAAAAGTTTATAAACATGCAGTATTTAAAAGGATCTGCTTAAAATGAGGATTTGGACCGGAGGTGTGTTCCAGGAGAGAAAGTTGATAAAACAGAGCATCTATTTTTGTCCTGATGGAACACACACACACACACACACACACACTGATTGCCTGCAGTGCAGGTCTCTGTTGTGATTGGCTTACAATCAGAAAACACTGCCGTGTTTAGTCAAAGGTTACAGGCAATCATTGTAATTTGCTAATGATACGCTGCTTTGGTGTCATCAGAGCTTGCCGTAATGAGACAGCAGAACTAGTTAAGTACTTTGTAAGTCTAAGCAGTTGGCCTATTAGTTTGTCACTCTGGATACTCAAGGCACCCTCAAGGCTGCACGCAATATTGCAAAATATGCGAGCTGTGTTACATGTCGCTGCTTTCTTGTTCTGCATATGCTGCTGCAGGCACAAAGTTGACTCATTATGTGGAACTCAGAGAGCCCTTAAAAAGCCCCTCTTGGTCACGTGTTGAACTTTGCATCAATTAAAAAAAAAAAGCACAATCTGTTTGTACGAGAGCCCCGACTGCGACAGCGACTGACGGCTCTTACCTGAAGGCTTCGATGAGTCTCTCCACCTTCTGTGCTTCCCCTTGAACTCGAACGTGAGCCTGAAACTTTCTCAGAGCTTCGTCAAGTTCCATCCCTGAGAAATCCATCTCATCCACCACACAGCTACCGAGAGGAAGGCAGAAGGAGGCTGGGTTTAGTTGTTGTCAGTCAAAGAAGTGCTTTGAATTCACAGCAAACTGTGTGTCGGAGCCGATTCGAAGTCTCTCTCTTTAGAGTCATATTTCAATTACAGATCTTCTGACCTGGAAGATGCACATGTCAACACACACTAATATAATGCAGAGGAAAGTTTCAGGTGACAGCTGGAGATAAGTGAAAGGAAGAAATATAAAAAAATCCAAAAGGAGAGGGGGCAGAGGGAATGGCTGAAGGCAGGCTACGGCAATAACAGAAGTACATACCAGAGACTCCAAGTGTACATTAGTGAGCTTCTGCACATCACATATGTCTGTTTGACTCAGTGAACGAAAAGTGAGGCTGAGTACTTATGAGTGTGTTCGATGCAGTGACCTATTTCTGCAATCTCTACAACAACCTCAGCAAAAAGCCCCTCCATCCTGGATCTCTGAGCACTGATTGGGTGGGTGAGCAACCACTAAGTAACAACATGCATCTACAGATGTGCCACATATCAGCAGAACCCTATGTTTGCTGCATGTGAGTCTTGTAGACGACACTTTTCATAATTCCTTACATTGCTTAATCAGTCAAAGACACAAATATCTTAATGAAACTTTTATCTTTGAACTTTAAACCCAGTCAAGAAATAAAACGGATAAAATCTGCCTTTACCCTTGAAATGAAAGGCAGAACTACTTTGAAGGAGCCGAAAGGTGGGATGGATGTTATCTGCTGTTGTTTCCCAGATTATCGAGGAACTGTGACTTTGTGTCAAAACACTGTGGTTGCTCACCATCACTGAGGATCCAAAATACAGCTGGGTTTGTTGACCGTCTTCAAATGTACCCACACACTCTACTTAGTTTTCAGCTTGCTTTAGCCCCTCTCCCCCCCCCCCCCTTTCTTATTAAATTCAGTGCTGTTCATCACTTACACTATCTTGCAAAAGTGTTTGTCTTTTAACTTTTTCATGTTACAATTGCAAACATAGCTTTGTTTTTTTCTATTTTATGTGGTAGTTGGGTACATAATTCTGAAGTGGAAATAAATTATTCATGGTTTTCATTTTTTGTGTGTTCTTTATATTATAAATTCAACTTGGACGTCACCTTTCAACGTAGATTCTCAAATGGAGCCAGGTCAAAGCTTTGACAGAACCATTCTAATCAGATGATTTAATCTAAACTATTCCAGTGTAGCATTTGCTGTATGTTCAGGGTAATTCTCCTGCTGGAAGGTAAACCAGTTGCTTTACTTTTCTTTAATTATTCATGATTTCACTCTGTACTTTAAGACATTGTATTATTCAGGTTTGGTTTGGAGTGAGAGTCCAAGCTCTTGTATTATTTTGCTCTATGTCTGAGCTTGTCTTTTTATTTCTGTCTGGGTTTAAGGTCAATTTTAGCATCCTCCCCTAGACATGCTTTTAGTTACTCATGTACTGTTTAGTAATTGTGTTTATTCACTCATTTAATTGAATAATCAGTCCTCGGCTCATCTGAGTTCCCTCCTTTTCTTTCAGCTGCAGCCAGTTTCGAGTTGGAATCCAAATTTTTTTGCATTCTGTAACCATCTCACATGCGTACAGGTAGCCAGTTTTCAATCATCTTTTGTCAGTTTCTTCTGTTATGTTATCTCCACAGCTTTGTTCCTCTTCAAGGCAGCTTTATTTGCATAACACATTTTCAGCAAGAAGACTATTTAAATCGCTTTACATGATGAACATACAAAAGAGGAGTACACTGCAGTTGAATAATGAGGGAAAGTAAAACGAAAAATTTTAAATAAACTGGGACTACAGATTAAAATTACTGATGTTTCAAGTTAGTTTAAACCTTGATTTTTAAAGAACTTAGAGTTTTATTATATTTTCATCTGCTTTATGTGATGTTGAAACAACCATGTTTTTTCAACCAGGATGGATGGATGGATGGATGGATGGATGGATGGATGGATGGATGGATGGATGGATGGATGGATGGATGGATGGAAGAGTCCATCATTCATCTATCCATGAATGATGGATGCTTTATCTAACCCATGAGATAAAGCATCCATCCATCCATCCATCCATCCATCCATCCATCCATCCACCCACCCACCCACCCACCCACATTATGGATGGAATGTGGTTTGCAGGCTGAGTACAATTCTAGTTTTTCTTGCAGCTCTGCCACAATCACCAGATAGTTTTATGGAGTTCCCATCAAATTGTCATTCTATCTGTAAATTTGTCCACTTGAGCTGTGAATAGCTGTGGGCATAGATTTAAAATTGGCATCTTGTGTTCTTCTCTCAGTTCGGGTGGATGGCCATGTTTTGGTAGGATTGCAGTTGTACCGTAATGATATATTGAGCACGGCTTTGTGCAATGCCTTAGCACAAACACTTCCCAGATTTCTTTTTGTTGGCGTATGGACGCTTTTGCAAGGCACAGCGCAAGTCTCTCTACGCGCCGGGAACTTTAAATGAATACAGTGCACTTACTCGAGGACGTCCCTGTTGAACTGCAGCTTGCTGTTGCCCAGGAACTCTCCAATCATCTGTCGACTGAGGCCCTTCCTCTGCAGAAGGAAGTGTGCCACGCCTATAGCCGTGTCCGGGACAAAACCACGCGTGATCAGGAAGTGGATGCCCCTCTCGGGGTTCCTGGCACCGCCAAAACCAGAGAAGCAGAAGAGTGTTAGAATTAGCATTGTGTGCTGTCATTTTGTGCTTTCAAGTGTACACGCGTAGGGGTGTGTGGGTGTTTGTGTGTGGGTGAGACAGAAGTTGTGTTTCTCTGCATTTGGGAGTAAATGAGCTTAATATGTGTGAGAGCTAGAGAGTGTGAGTAGAAGGGAATACAAACTGGAAAAAGAAGCATGCGCTCATGCAGAAAAGCTGTTAGCTCACAACTTTGAGATCAGCTCGCCTGTCACTGAGTTCATTTACTTTAATTTGTATTAACTAATATTAAATGAAGGCCCACTGTTGACTCTATTTTTAGAACCTGAGCAGCTCTAGCATTGTTCACAGCCTCCTCCACTGCCTCTAGTATTCTGCTGCATTTTGCACTCCACTTTTCATCCCCATCCTCCCTCCTGGATGTTTTTTTTTTTTTTTTCATGGACATCACACAATCAGAAGATGGCACCAAACAGACACTTCCCCCCGGCAATTACAAGCAATAATAAGCTGCTGTTCATAAGTATTTTAAAGGGTTGTTGGGAGTTTGTTCAAAACAAACATCGGGGCTTTGAAGTCAAAGCCAGAGGATGGGGAAATATTTAACGTGTTTTTATTTTGTCACAGAGCTTTATGTGAACTGCCAGCCCACTCACACGTTGAACAGGTTGAGTCCGATCCTGTAGAGGCGTTTGCGATGCGTGTCGGTGGACAGGGTTGGGGAGCGACAGGAGGCTGGATCCTGGCAGCGGTCCCTTGGCAGAGAGACGACAAGGGCCTGCAGGGAATCCGGACTCGGACCCCCGGGGACCTGCTGGGGATGAGTGTAGTGATACTGCTGGTACTGTGTGTAAATTTGAGCAGGTTGCTGATTAGACTGCACTGAGGTGGAGATTGACGTGGAGGTGGAGGTGGAAGTGGAGGATCCCAGTCTGTCTGAGCTGTTTTCCCCCTCCATCCCAACCCCTGCGGCAGCTGGTGCCGCAGACCCCCTCCTAGATCCCGGATCGACCATTTCCAGCTCCTCGCTGGGCGGAGGGGCGGGAAACTCGGGTTCCTCCATCGACTGCCCGTCCCCTCCGCCGCCTGTCCCACTAACAGAGGGCTTCCTGCTGCCTGATTCTCCTCCGCTTGCATTTCCCAGAGAGGTGGTGGTCGTGGTGGTCGCGGATGAGATGGTGTAGGAGCTATTGCTGTCTATGTGAACAGTTACATCCCTGAAAGCCATAAGCAGGGAGCTGGCGCTGCGGGGCAGGCCGGCGCTTTCTGCAGCTGCACGAAGGGCCCCGGGGTCCATCAGAAGTCCCTTCCCCTCTCCTCCCTCTGACAGGCTCCAACCGCGAAGAGCATCGTCGATGGACTGAGCCAAGGAGTGAAGCTGCAAGGGCAGGAATAAGAAAAACGCACATTAAGTCAGCGACTCTGCGTGAGGTTGTCTGTGTTGAACTGCAGAAAAGTTCATAAGTTCAGGCTGATAATTAATGACTACTGTAAGACATGTCAGGCTACATTGAACATGCTATTATATCAGCAAGGCAGCGGGTTTACTAAAGGGTAATTTGTGGCTTGATAAACTTGACATTACTTTACTTTTTCAGATTTTAATTCATCTTTAAGCACACTGGAACTCTCTTGAACAAAATACAATAAATGCTTAAAATATGTAAAAACAAGACCCACCCTCATAGCTCTTGGTGAATTGCTGCACATAAGATGCACAATGTAAAGTCGTCTTTATAGTGGAACATGACACACAAGCTTCGGAGCAAAAGCTAAACATTTACCACAAACAGTCTGTGCATGTTCAAACGGGTTGGATTTGTATTAAAGACTCCAGGTGATTCAGTGAACCACCTGCAGTTCAGCTTTTGAGTGTGAAAAACACCGTATGAATTCCAAATAACAGATCCTAATGTGCTCCTGAAACTTTTAACACCAAGCAAGGATGGTGAAACACCATGTTTTGCAAAAGCACTCACAACCAAAAGAAGAATAACATTCTATACATACAAACATATTCATTAGATAAATTTTAACACATTGCAAATTTTAACAAAACGGAGTTGCTTATTTTAAACGTTTTTCTGAGTCAGAGTTATGTTTCATTCTTTCATTTTCCTCCATTGCATTCCTGTTGAAATAGTTTCAAGTTTCTGAGATTCTTTCTTCGTGAACCACAAGTTTATCGCACCAGATCTTATTTATATCTCCACAAAGTACACTGACCTGCTCGGAGAAGCAGTCTTCCAGCTGTGTGAGTGTAGGTCCAGATGTCTGAGACGGAGCCTGACTTGGAGCTGATGACGGGGCATTTGCTGGGGCTGACGCTGGTGACGGGGGAAGAGATGTGGAGCGACATGGAGGTGGAGGAGGAGTTTTTGAGCGTAAGGGAATCTGTCCACCTCCTGGATGCAGAGTGTAGCTGTGTCTCTGGGCCGCATTCCTGCTCCGGGATGAAGGGCTGGGATGGCGCAGGGAGATGCGGCGAGGCAGCTTGCTCTCTGACAGCGAATTGCGGATCTTCTGGAAGTTCTTGCTGAGCTGGTACTGGCGGAAGGCCGTCTGGATGCGGCGCGCTGCCCGCCTTGCGATCAGATGGCCTCCATACTTCTGCTCCAGCTCCTCTATCTGAGGGCACAGGAAGGTGGTGAGTGGGAGTGAACACATCAAACGCCTTTAAATTGCTTTGAGAGTCATTGAAAAACACTGCAAGAGTGATAAACCCACTGAAACACGTTTTAATCATTCATCAGCAATCAAACACGCTGCCATTTTCGAGCAACGAGATCAAAAGAGCCAAGAGGAGTCCTGAAATACACACTCACACTGTTCACAGAGGTATCCTTCTTAATTATAGGTTGGCTCTACCTGGAGTGGTTTAGGGCTTATGGAATCATCATCCTTCTGCTAATAGTTCATAGCAAGGATATAGAGATGGACCATGACAGATTGAGTTAAATGAATGGGGGAGCCTATTTGTTTGCAGCACCACCCAAAAATCCTACAATTTCTCAGAACTTCACCTCTAATATTTCCAGAGGAACGAGAGGCAGGTGGGGCAGGAAAAAAAAAAAAAAAAGAGGGAAACCTCACAATATGTCTGCTGTGTGTCTGGTCACACCACGAGTGGATACATGCACTCAAGCACCGCAGCAGCACAGCGAGATACAACAGCAGACCCTTCAGTTGCTTGCTATGAGGAATAAAGACATCTTCAGCCACCACGAACAGTTATTAGTTGTTACCATGACAACCTAGCATCTCCCTTTCCTCTGTTCCTGTCGCTGTGGCACTCAGTATCCTGGGTGTTCTTTTTCATGTCAACAGAGACGGAAATAGATCTAAATGGGAATCTTTTTTGTCAAGAAATCTTCCCTCTCACACACGCACGCGCACACACACCTGCTCACGTTAAATAAGGTAGAGCTGCCAGCAGTTTTTACTCCAAACCTTGTGATTGAGCATATTGATCCACTAAGGAAAAGGCATACCTGTTTGTTTTTGTTCTCCAAATTGATCTCATACTCGCTGGGTCCCTCCCTCTTCAGCCCCTTCACTTCCTGTCCTCCACCAGAGGACGTCCCATCCTCCAGGCTCAGGATCTGTCCGCTGCAAGGGAAATAAGAGCAGAGAGATTTCAGTTCCTCCCCCACGACCACATATCTTCACTCTTTACAGGGGCCTGGCCTTCAGCTCTGCGGAGTGGGTAGAGATTCATAAATTAGACAGAACGTGGACTGTGGTGGCCTGAGGGGCAGATGACTGACTTTCCGTGTCCACTCTTATTTGGTCAGACTTGTGGCTCCACTGCAAGTTGCAGGCAACGGCTGAATACGAAAAAGCTGACAGCATATAGAGTCCAGATTCAGAGGCAATACCCTTTCATAACATAGCATACACACAGGTTCAAATTTTTAAAATTATGTCTAAGAGATGTTCGTTAATAAACTAGATTAACTACCCAGGCTTTTTGCACAAGAATATGTAAATACTTTAAATCTAATGGAATAAATTCATTTTCAGATGCAGTAGTATATTGAAATTTTGAGTTTGTGATGGTGGGGGAGGGAGAATCCAATATTTCCATCCATCCATCCATTTTCTGTACACCCTTCTCCCTGGTGGGGTCGGGAGGCTTGCCGGTGCCCATCTCCAGCTAACGTTTCAGGCAAGAGGCAGGGTCACCCTGGACAGGTCGTCAGTCTGTCGCAGGGCAACACAGAGTCAGACAGGACAAACACCCACACACACACACACACGCACACACACACACACACACACACACACACACACACACACACACACACACACACACACACACCTAGGGAGAATTTAGAGAGATCAATTTGCCTGACAGTCATGTTTTTGGACTGTGGGAGGAAGCCGGAGTACCCGGAGAGAACCCACGCATGCACAGGGAGAACATGCAAACTCCGAACCCAGGACCTTCTTGCTGTAAGGCAACAGTGCTACTGCGCTACTTTGCAGCCCAGGATGCAATGTTTGTCCCATTAATTAATTCATCAAACCATTTATTTATTCCTATATTTTTTTGCCAATTTTGGCAGGAACCACCCTCCATACTCATCATTTTTCAAAATAGAAAAGGTGAAAAAACAAAAATTCAGCAAAGATTTTGCTCAAAGGGGAAATGATAAAATTCAGCTTTCATCAATCAATCAATCAATCAATCAATCAATCAATCAATCAAGTGTATTTGTATAGCACATTTCAGCATCAAAGCAGTTCAAGGTGCTTTACACCATGAAAACACAAAAATATAAAGTCATAGAAGACACCAAAACACACAGTGGAGAATTGAGAAAACCCTTTAAAATTATATTTTGCCAAGTGCCATCATTACACATCAAAATACTGGTTAGTGTTTCATTTATTATGGTCCAAAGCAACTCTAAACATTTGGGTTTTTAGTCTAGATTTAAAGAAACTCAGAGTTTTTGGTGTTTTGAGGTTTTCTGTAAGTTCTATGCACCACAGATTTGTAGTGCACAGAAGCTGAATGCTGTTTCTCCATATTTGGTTCTGGTTTTGGGGATGGTGAGCAGAACCAGAAGACCTGAGAGGTATTGAAAGTATGTAGCAATACGGCACCACAATACTTTAAAGCAGATCATTAACGTACTGTGGCTCAGATCAGTAAAACTCACAGATTTACACACTGATGAATCATAACTATGTTGTGTTTAGTTTTTTTTTGGATCGGGGGTGTATTATGTAAACATTAGCTTACAAAGCTCTTATCAAATTTTCATGAGTTTGCCTAACACTCTCCTTTAACAGTTGGACAAAGGTTCCCATCTTTATCTGGTGAGACTGTCATGCACAAATAAAAATCTCATATTTAGCGGTGAAAACTTTCAGTGATTCCTTTTATGTTTCTGTGTTTATTTTTGGCTAGAGCCAAGGTGATTTAGCAGCTTAGACGCTGTGCCTCAAGAGAGCTTTCAAAAAGGAAAGCCATGTGCAGCGTATTGCTGCAATAAAGACCTGTAAGTTGTAACTTGTGTTTTTCCCACAATATTCTTATGCCAAAGGATTTGATCTCTTTTATTTAGTACCGATATTATGCCAGACGAATCCAGAAAGTGTCTGCACCACTACTGAATCAAATAGAAGGGTTACACTAACTTATATAAGGAATTCAAACAAATAACTCCTAGCTAAGACTTGCCACTCACGTTTGTATTTATTTTCTCTTGCGATGTTTCCACGCCAGCCTTTGCTCCACTCTCAGTTTTTACTATTAAGATCAAGGCTGAATTCGTGTATGACCCTCTGAAAGCTAATGTGTATCCATGGCAATGACATCATTTGGATGAGCCTTTCGTTCTCTGTGTGCTGCGTGGAAATAAAAAGATTATTGGGGAGGCTTTTTCCCGTGTTGCGCTGTTGGGATTAAGCTTTCAAAAATACTGCAAACAGGAATGCCATGCCAATACAGTCAGGCGTGACTCAGAGAACAAGTTAGGGGAAACCCTAATCTGACTCCACCGATACGGGGACTTCATATTCATGACACTTTGAATTCAGCAACCCAGAGTGATGCAGAGCAGAGACCATTCATACATGCCAAGAATATAACAAGAATACACCAGTACCACCTGCCTACTTCAAAGCGACCTTACGAATTGAACGTCGGCTCATGCCAAGATTTCCACGTCTTCTAAACTGAGCTACATAAAGTCGAAAACACACACCTACAGAGATCCAGCTGGTTTTGTGAGGTACTTATAACGTTTAAATTTTCTAAATATTTGTCATATTACATAGATGTTATGATAGTGAGACATGGAGGTGACAGCATGATGCTGTCTTATGCTTGTCTTAAGCAATGAGATAAAAGCAGATCAAAAAACTAAAGACAGAGGTGGATACTCACCTTCCATGAGAGCAACCCTAAACATGCAATGAGATCTACAAAGAAAATTTTTAATTTAAGGGATATGATCACTGTCAGATATGGGTTAAGAGGTATTTTCATTTAACTAAGAAGTTTATTTTCAAAAGAAAATCTAACAAGCATCTTCTAAAAAAAAATACAATCAGCTAATAAAGAAATCAAATTTACATTTTATTGGAATTATTACTTGAAAAATACATGACATGTCAAAAAATTATACTTTTCTAATCAGTCAATGGAAAAATCTTCACTGGCATTACAGCCATCAAATCGTTCTTATTTTTTTAGCATTTCCCACTGGTATCTTACAAGTTATCTTTGATGATTAAGGCTGGAATGCCTCTATGCCACCTCTTTAATAATCTTACTGACTTTCTCACATTTACGTCAGGACCCAGTATGAGCCATTCTAAAATGTTACTATTACTTCCAATGAGAAGAAAAACGTTGCCACAATTAGAAGGTTAAACTTAAAATTTGCTGGATAGATCATTTTGGACTCAACTATATATTATCCAGTCAAAGTGCAAACAAAAACCCACTTAAAAAACTTGTGACAAGACATTAAAATAGATGCTAATAAACACGCTCGATCCAGTCTGACTGAACTTTAGTTATTTTGCAAAGCAGAAAGAAGTGCCAAAAGATTTGCAGTTGTGGTTTCAGCGAGGCACACCAAACTTTTCAGATTTATATTTATAAAATTAACAAAAGAACATGTAACCTTTTCCATCACTGCACAATAAAGCTTGATCTACCACAAAAGAAATCCCTGAAAATACATTGAGGTTGTTGCTTGTGACTGGACAAAATCTGAAATGGTTTGTACAGTATGACTGCTCATCTCAAAAGTGAAAACCAGAAGCTGAGCAACATCACAAAAATCACATCAGAGTTTAAATTTAGCTTCAGAACCCAGCAGTGTCAAGGGTGGAGTAGGCTGCTCCCTGAGGTCAGCCATTTTTAATCCCAGACACAGATGGTACAACATTCTTTTACATGGTAGCATTATCAAAATTCTGCGAAAAGTCATGTAGGGCTTAAGTAATTTGCCAGCATAACACAGCAAACACCCTCATTCTCTTAGGCCTTTCGATAATCCAGATGTTCTCACACATAAGGCTTCCCTTCATCTTTGCAAACTTCTTTCCACATAGGAATGGGATGAAAAACTAACTTTCAGCACAAAAGAGCTCTGGAGTGGACAGATTTATGATCATACCCTGAAGGCTTTAAGACTATATGCACTCACAAGGGTGAGAGATGCTTGTGGAATCTCCCGTCCTGGCCGGATACTGCTTACTCCGATTATTTTTACACGAACGAAACCAGAGCTAAAAAACAACAGGGGAGAATTAAAAGCCAGCTCATGCTTAAATAATGAGTGCATCACTTAAGTCTCTCTTTGTTTCCTCTGATTGCTGTGAAACGAAGTATACTGCAGCGTCTCTCACTAAAAGTCGGAGACAGGGCCGGAGAGGCTAGGTTTGGCTGTATCCTCTGAGATAGAGTCAGCGAAAAGAGCCAGAAAGAGGAGAGCAGAAAGCGAGATAACTACAGCGAAGTCGGAAACAGTAAGATAGTTACAGGCTGCCTGTTGGTGTGTGCACGCTGGAGGCTGTCTCTATCAAAAAGTCTATTAAAACACTGCCATGCCCCAGCGCTGCATCAGAATACATTAGAGTACATTAGAATACATTAGAGGGTTTTAAAGCAAGACCTGAGCTATTAATGCATCTGGCCAGGCAAGAGTCTCGGTGATGATAGGGGCACTGTGCGCACTTTCTCCTGCAAAGCATATGCAGCAACAAACACAGACAGCACACATGCGAGCACAGGCGTCATCAGGGGGCGAGACAGAAAAACCTTGGTCAAATCGTATCGCTTAAAGCCCTGCACGCCCAGGGGGGGATGCACACCCACACACTTAAAGGTTGGAAGAGCGAAGGGTATGGCAGGTTAGGCTAGAGGCAGATCTCATGGCATCTCTTGGGAGGTGAGTGTGCACTGATGGATTTAGAGTGTGTAGCAGCAACTGTTGAGGAAGTGAAGGATTGCAACCAACATGTTCATGTGATGATGATGATGATGATGATGATGATGATGATGATGATGATGATGATGATGATGAGAGTGGTGATAATAAAGAGCTGCATTGGCATTAGAGAGCCACACCAGTCTCATCTCAGCTGGGCGCCCGCTGCCTCTCTGTCATTTGCCCATCCAATCAGGAACGTGTGATTGTAGGAGTTAAGTCGTTAGATCTCCACAGAAAATAGAGGGATACCAGACAGACAGACAGACAGATGGTGATATTGAGAAAAGAAATAAACTTAATGGGGTGGGATGAGGTGGAAATAATTGCGACGCAATGATTGAGCAAGACGTGGGCTTCCAAAAAGCAGGCAAAAAAAAAAAGATAAAAACAAGCGAGAGAGAATAAACAATTGCATATGAAGATGAAACAAAGTAAAAAGGGTTTAAAGAAGAAAGGCGCTCATTCAAGCCTTTAAATGAAAGTTTACACATTCACACTCTCCATGCACAGCCCACTCAGAAACAAGCTGTTAAAATGGCTACTGTAGATTCTCCAGTTACTATGGTAGAGATATCTGTTGCATCACTTCAGAGTTGCCATGGTCGTTTTGATAGCGGCAGTTTCATTACATACATCATACCACCTCCTCTTCTGTTGTCTTTTTGTGAGTTGCAGACGGTGAAGCTATACGTTTGCTACACATTTAGCCATGTAGCTGTACTGCTGAACCTCAAAATTACACCACTTTGCACTGACATATGGACCAGTTCAGCACTGCACACTTCCCACCAGGCATGATTAAAAGTTTTAAGTGTTGGCTATTTTGTTGGCAATAAGGCAAAGAGAAACTGACAATTCTTTTGTTTACTTCTTTTCCCCCGTTTTTCGTTGCGTACTTTGAATAAACTTTTGTCTGTAAGTGTGAATGCATCGTAGATTTCAGGGGGAAAAAATGACAGCATGCACATTGATGTGGTTTATGAAAAAAGAACAAAGCCTGACTGGAATGCCCAGCTGTTATTTTGAAAGACCTTCAGCAATCATTTTAAATCAATTTGATATTGAAACCATATGGTCTTGTCAATATATTCCATTAAAATGATTTTCAAATCCTAACAATGTTTTCTGAAGTCATTGCATAAGCCACTACTTCCACCAAACAATTATCCCAAACAGATTTGTATGGGCACAATCCTGTCAGTTAACCCCAGCATGCATGAACCTGCGGTACAGCCCATGCTATTACTATAACCGAGTTAAGACCACAGAGAAAATGTAGGAAAGAGAGAAGTTTGTTTCGATAAGCAAAAGCAGTTTGAATTCAGACAGCATGAGGTGTCAATGCACTGGCAAATCACATAACAGTTTAAAGTGATGCAATATGAATATAGCATTAAAGTGGCGAACACATACAAAAACCTACAGGAAGAGAAATTTTAAATATGATCAAAAAAACTAAAGTTCTGCAGACAGTCAGCTTCATCATCCATGCCAGTAACCATCATGGCTTCGTATCCATATGAGTCAAACTCTAGCTCAGGCACATGACAATAAAAATAAAAAAAAACCTTCAACTCGTGCAACTTAAATGCTTCAAAATCGATGTTGAAATACTTTAAAAACAGCACCTCTGCTACAATACTTAAAAATGTCAGGTGGTTAGCTACAATCCTGTGCCTTTTGTGATGTCATCAACCCAACTACGCACATCGGAGAATTAGCAATTGTCCTTCTCGGCTGAGCTCACCTTGATGATCCCGAGGTATCGGTCTCCGGATGTTCAGGGGCGGGGCAGCAAAACTGATGCAGCACAGTCTCACTCCTGCAGAAGGATGGAGGGAAAAAGCAGAGGTCAGCAAAGGAGAAAGAAAAGGAGCAAGGCACGCACGCAGAGCTGAAAGGACAGGTTGTCATTCTGTCTGCCGATGATGTATGTTCAACATTCCTCTTTAGTACCCAAGATGATCACTTTTAACAAACACAAAAAAAGATCCTAGAGAGTCTCCCTTCTTGCTCTTTGGATTATTGTATCATTACATTTTACAGTCAGTGACTGATCCCAGGGCAAATACCCTATGTAGGTCAAATCAAGGCTGAGAAAGCTTAGAACGGGTGTATTTATATGTTTGTGTGTACGTGTCAGATCAGCTGCGATTTAGCAGAAATCCCTGAACCCAATCTGGAAAGATGCTTGCTCCAGCTCTGTTTCCTACTTCCTCCTCTTCAGCTGGCCTTTCTCATTTGTCTCTCATACATTTTACATTCACATTCATATTTTAGGCATTATGCTGGAGCTCTTATGTGGAACAAGAAAGAAAAAATGCATTCTTAAGCAGCTGTATAGATTGCCTTCCTTTAAATTCAGGATGCCCTATAGTTTCCATTTCTACATACATAAAAATGACAACCAGGACCAGCATTTATGGATTTTTTTATAGGTATTATCTGGGCATCAAGAACATTAGGAACTTCTTCATTGTGCTGAATAAATGCAGTGAAGGGACATTGTTGGCTATACTACAGTCGATTTCATGACCTGGGTTCAGATTAAAGCTCATGACACAAAGTCACAGTGACAGGCAGTCAGAGTCGGCGCAAAACCAGGAGTGACAGTCTGGGCTATAAAAAGCCACCTTTTCACAGCAACTTCTACAGACTTAAAGGGACCCTGATATTTTCCCTAAAAATCTCACAATCTGTTCACACTCTGATTCTGTGATCTGCTACTTGATCCAAGATCAATGGAACACATACATGTGCTTTTATAAACTTTAATAATTATTTCTGAATTCATTTTTGCCATTTTCTTTAATCATGTCCCTTATGTGATTAGTTTCTTGTCTGAGAGCTTACAGAAAACCTCAGAATGCATATGCTTCCTCTTAAGGTTTGGTTTTCACACAGTTAGTTGCAAATGAAGTAGTGATCCTTGGCGCCAAACGTTCATGAACCTAATTTACTGCCTGCTAGTTTTTGAGTCTCAGGAACAGTTTCTCAATTGTGATCTATTCAACACAAAAGCTTCTGAAATAGTCTTCATTTCACACATTCAGAGCACAGAGGTGTTGTCAATGAGATTTTTTTATGTCAAATTGGAGGAATCAAAGGAAGGAGAATCAATGCAGCTACTCTTCTGGGCATTATTTACTAGGTTAGGCTAACAAAACACAGTGACATCTGTAAATTGTCATAGTCCTGGAGTTTTTTTTACATTTTGTTATTTTACAATGAAGAACTTCAACGTAGTTTTTTTTTTACCTAAAAAATGGTGGATAATAGGGAAATAAAATGACACATGGTTTTTCTGTGACAAATTAAGTCCGAACAGGGTGTCTTATATTAGCATTCGGTCACCTTTTCCCTGATGCCTCTAAATATAAACCAGTTCATCTTCAAAAGTCACCCAAGTCAGACCACCTGTATAAAAGAGTACATCTGCATAAATGCTGTTGTCCTCTGAAGGCCTCTGAAATTTACAGGGAACATTAGAAAACAACATGAAGACCAAAGGACAGACTGGGATAAAGTCATGGAGACGTTTAAAGCGTTAAGTTCTAAAACAATATCACAAGTTAGGAGCAATCTCAGGGGGAACTGTTCAAACTAAAAATTTAAACACAATGGCACTGCAAACCACCCAAGTAAACTGGACTGGAGGATTATTCTGGGAGGAGATATAGATATAAATAGATATAGATATAGAAATTCACAATTCAGTTGAGAAAATCTGCTAACCGGGCAACTATTTGTAACAAATGGGGGAGAGGCAAAGAGAAAGATGCTCTCAGTCCATTCATGATGAAGATGTTGAGGTATTTTCCAATTGACAATGGTAAGCCCATAGTTTTTAGTGTGTAACTTGATTCAAACTTAAATTTAGTCAATTGTAGGATCTATAATTAATCAATCACAATTACTGTATATTAATCAAAAACTATGTATCGACAAAGTAAGCAACATATTCAACTCAAAAGCTATTTATGCTGCTAAATTATTGGATGAATAGACATATGAGCTCTATAACAAAGATATTTGTTTTAATCTGTTTTTCAGGTTACTCAACCAGATTGGAGCAAAGTGCTATTATGCCCATTCAGCTTTCAAGCAACCTCTCGTTATTCATGTGACTCCCTTGAAAAAATACTGGTTTAGAAATGTGAACAGAGGAGTCGCTGTGGTGGCGCAGGGGTAAAGGACAATCCACACGGAGGCCTTGATCCTCGATTCCGGACGTCAAAGGTTCAAGTCCCAGCCAGAAGACCTTTGCTGCATGTCTTCTGCCTCTTTTGCTACCTACTTTCCTGTCTAACCATGCTCAAATAAAGGCTGGACCAAAAAAAAAAAAAAAAAAAACTTTAAAAGAAATGTGAACTGAGGACACTGACAGTACCATTGGGGACATCTGTGCTTGCTGCAACATGTTTTGCATTGAGATGGTATTTTAGGCTTGAATAGCTTCACTGATAGACCAACTCCTTTTTGCACGATGTAAACAGAAAACTCTTTACCAGCATCCCATCAGATCATTTTTTTTGAAGGTTCTATTTTTATATGTAACAAAAAATAAATTCATTAAGGTCCTGGGCATAGGTTTTAGATATGCAATAATGGGAGAGACAAACTTAAAGGTATCCAGTTTAACTGGAGTAAAAAAAAAAAAAAAGCTTTACAAATCATTTACTGAGGGGGCCTGAATACATGTGCTGTTTCATGTTCATACCTCTTCACATTGTCCCCTACGTCAGCATGTCTATCACTTACATAAAACATGAACACTGTGAAGTTTGTGGTTGTAATGTGACAGAATACGGAAAGGTTCAAGCAATATGAATAATTTTGCAAGGCACTGTAGGTTTGCTTTTTTCCATTGACCAGACTATGCAAAAAAAAACATTTTTAGTGAATTCAAATTGTGCAGCCAAGCCAGACAACAAGACCAAGTCGAACACTGAACACTTTTACTTTTTCTGGAAACATTTCACACAAAGCAGATCTGGAAGCTAATGAACTCCAGAGCAATACTGTACAACAAATTCCTTTTTTTTTTTTTTAAACTGCTCACAAACAAACCAAATCAGCAAATATAATAGTCATTGGAGAGGTGATGATGTGTTAATAGTAACGCTGGATGATGTAACCTAAAAGAAGCTGTCGCAGTAGTGACTGATGGGGAGATATGTTCCTCTCAGTTTGACATCGTGGGGAAAAATAGATTCTTTCTCTTTAAAGTGCAGTTTTGACAGCTGTCTTCACATGTTGCAGTGTGACGCTTCTGTGTAAAGACACTTAAAAAAAAAAAAAAAAGCCTTGTACTGTATATTTGGAAGTTCTTCTGAAGCCGAGACTTTCATCTAAAAAGATCCAAACCTTCTGCACCTCTGTGGTGTGTAGGTTTTATTTTTAAAGCTTTTAAGGGGTGCCAACATGTCAGTGTGTTAGTTCAGATTTAAATAAAGGACTGAGCTCTGTGTGACTGCACAAAGAAGCATCTAAAGAACTTTCTTGAACTACTGCACACTTGCTTTGTTTCTTGTTTCTTGTGGATGTTTCTTTTATTCTTTGCTGCAAAGAGCTATTTAATTGTAGGTGCAAGTTTGCTCAGCTCATTTGGAAAGAGATGTGTCAAAGTGCACGAGAGCCAGTGCTGCAGTTTAGCTTGTGCATGTACGGTTTTGTTTTTCCACAGGTATTCTGGGTTTCGCTCTTCTCTTACTTCTTCAGCAGGAACAGGGTACATTAAGTTAATGAGGTTTGCATATTTTATTTTTTCCTTCGTTTGTGCACCTAGTCGCACTTTTTCTCTATGAGATGGAAACTCACAAGAGACCTCATGATTACTTATTATCTCCACCCATGCAGACACAGGGCACTTATGCCAGAGATACCGCAACAATGTTGCAGGTGGCAAAAAAAAAAAAGCTCATTTACCTTCTTGAACGTTCTTCCTATGAAAACACAAGGTAGCCAAGAAATCCACAAAGCTACCTAAAACAACACTCTGCACTATATGAATGTCACCAATATGCTAATTGGTGTAAAAATACAAATGACTGAAGTATTGTTAATGTGCAAAAACAAATTACTACCTAAAAAAAAAAAAAAAAGATCCTCCACAGATTTATTCATGTTATTTTTTTATGCTTTGTCGTATCTGTACAGATTTAAGAGATAAATCTAATTTTGTGTGCTTTAAAAATTGCTGCTGGGCAGCGTTTCTTACCTTAGCATGAAATCAATCTAGCTTTTGTGTCCCTGTTTAATAAGATTTATCACAGGTTTGTTCTACAGTGCTTTGCAAAAGTGTCCATATGAGTTCTAATCAGTGGTGGGAAGTAACGAAGTACAAGTACTTCGTTACTGTACTTAAGTACA